CCCTCTCTCGCTCCGGCCGAAATCATAACAAGTAGGAGCGGATTGGCACAGCAGGTGAAATTAAATGATGAAAATGGGCTTATAATTGCAACCAGTGTAAACAAAGCCCTCGAAAATCTCCTTATGACTTTCTGTTTGAAGAGTCTAAGACAACGCAGCTTCAACATAGTACAATAGTTTTGCATTTTGATGCATTTTATATATTAAATATAACTTTTTATGAACTATATTAGATATTCTTTGAGTAAGGTTTCATTTCTAGATAAATGTGAATGTAATATAATGGAGTTAATAGTTGGTATTCTGTTCATGATTTGGTGTCTTTTGAGATATTGAGAAAGGTTAACTCAACATTAAAGAGACTGAGAGTCTTGTCAAAGAAAAAAAAGTGTGCCTACAGGGCAGGAACAAAATTCACACAGACACCATGTAATCGCTGTATTGAATGGAAGAAAAGAGCTGGAATAGCAATAATTCCATACTGTGGGCTTCCAAGACATAAAACGCAAGATGACAAACAAAGAACAGAACACAGCATATCTGAGTAAATGTATGTGGTGAGAGAAATTGTGGAAATGTCTGAGAAAAATTGCAGAAGAGCAGAGGTTAAGCAATCAAAGCTCCTTAATCGAGAATAAGGTGTCAAAGTGAAATGCCATTTCAGAGGGAGGGTAATAGAGAGAGACCGAGCGAGAGAGAGAGAGAGAGAGACTGAGAGGTATTCACGGTGAAGGATGCACACACACAGTCTGTGCTGGCGAGGACAGCACCTCATCTTTGGAGACTGAGACGATGCAGATTTAGCCAGAGCTGGTGTCTGTGTGATGTGACGAGAGACTGAGGACTAGGACTGAGACTGAACCTGAGGTTTGGCCATGTCTGAGTTCAGGTCCAGAGTGCGCTGTCGGAGAGCAGGTGTCCGTGCTGCCGCCGCTCTTATCGGACTCCTCCACCGTTCACGCAAGCGGTGTGAGAGACGGAGACTGACGGAGACAGACGGCCAGTGGTGGGTGAACGTCATTGTGGGTCTAGAATGTTTTGGAGGACTTGTACACAATTAAGTCTAGGCCTACAGTACATGGTCCTGCACACTTTATGAGCTAGTTGTTACTTAGTGATTTTTGGTGCTCTCTGGCCAAAAAACAAGGGATTTTTCAATAGCTTTATGATTTTATAAATAATATAATTAATAGTAATAATGTTTGATGAGGATTAATAAACTAATTGTTCAGTGTGGTGTAGCAACTATGTTTTGTGTCAGTACTGTACATGATTCAGTCATTTTGACATCTTAATTTGTAATATTATATTTTAACATCATTTGTAACATCTTGATTTCAGAATCAATATTTATTTCCTAGGAAATTGATTAATGAGTATTTCTGAGAGGAAATGTGTCATTTTACAGGGGGTTTAAGTTGTATTTGTTTTAAGAAGACTTTTTGGATGGGTGGACGGACGGATAGATAGATAGATAGTGTCAGACTCTGTTCCTTGTTTTGTGTGTGTTTTGCTCCCCATGTGCCTTCCTTGCCCTTATTTGGTCCTTCCCGTTCCTGTTATTATGATCATTTGTTCCAGGTGTTCCCCGTTCAGTTCATTTGTTCCCAGGTGTATCCCATTAGTTCCCCTGTACTTAAGCCCTGTGTTTCCTTGTCTCCAGCATCAGGTATTGTGAATGTCTGTGTATATGTCTACCTCATCTGCTACGTGTGTTTTCCTGGTTCCCTGAATGTTATTAAAATCTCCTCATTGATATACTTCTCGTCTCCTCGTTCCTCGCTCCATGCTCCAACACAGTAGCAACCGTGACAAAATTCCGGACCTAAACAGAAAAGTAAGCGGCGCCCCTTCTCCCGTGTTTTTGTTTTTGTTTTATAAGTCTTTTGTTTTCCGTTTAGTTTCTCCCCGCCACATGGAGGAACGAGCGATGTTCATCGCCGTGGCTCAGGTGAGCCTCTACCCGCTCACCTACTCGAGGGTATTCGGGGGAGACCCTCTTGACGCTGTTACGGCTCGGGATCACTTACCATCCAGACACCACCAACCTCGACTGGAAGGAAGCGGTCATCCGGTGTCT